ATAAGGATTATTAAAGACTGACATACTAAATAAATATAACATGAAACATATGACAAAAGAACACTAGGCAGGTATGATGATACAACACACCTGTTATCCTTGCACTCAGGCGGCTAAGAGGTAAAAAGAGCACCACAAGTTCAGGGTCAGCCTGTGCTACATAGTGTGTTCCAGGCCAGCCTGAACTACATAGGGAGACCCTCAAAAACAAACATGAAACAGTATTTTCAAGTTACAAGATTATAAGCATCTGCAACATGAAGCTTTCTTCCAAATCAAGAAGATGTCTTCTATAGAAAAATAAATCACAGTAAGTATGACTATTAAAATGAAATTAAAACCAGCTAATGAATATGTAAGATGCTCATCTCATTAAATCAAAAGAATTTAAAACATCAAATTATCATTATATCAGATTGGCAAACACATTCTTGTAAATGATAGTTTTAGCATTAGCTACTGTACATAGATATACCAACCACAGTACTCTTACTGGAGATGTAAAATATAATGGTATAACCTTGATGACAATTTGACAAGATATAAAGTAGTATTAATGTTTAGACTCAAAAACATTAATTTTTAAAATGTATCCTTTCAAAATAAGGACACATAGACATATATATTAGAATTTCACTGTGTTAAACTGTAATAGAAAAAAAAATGGGAGATGAGTTAAATACATTGTAGCAGTAATTAAATAGTTTCTATTTCTTTTTTTTTTTTTTTTGGAGACAGGGTCTCACTATGTATTTTCTCCAGTTTTAAATTCAAGTAGTCCAAGCTGGCCTCAAACCCAAGACAATCCTCCAGCCTCAGCCTCTTCAGTGCTGAAATTTCAGACCAGTGCTGGAATTACAAGATGGTGTCACCACACCCCATAGTCAAATAGTTTCTGATTCATCCATATAATTGGATGTTATTAAGCAACAAAAAGATTTAAATGTGAGATACATTTAAATGATACTTGTAACAAATAGTTTAAAAAGGTAACTATAAATAGTACACAGAATATGAAAACATTCACTAATTCACTAATCAACGACATTCACTAACAGGAGAATCCTGAAGGATGTTCCTAAAGTCCTAAACATTAACTTTGTTGGGTAGGAGCGGATTTAAAAGTACTTTCACTCATTTGTTATTTTTACTTTCACTGTTTATAAGTCAATACTGTACCCAATCTTTTTTACAATGGGTACCCTGCACTTTTAAAATATTGAGAAACAGTAAATTTCTATTTTGAAAAAGATATTACTACAGAAACAATTTATTAAGATTTCTATCAGATTTTTTTCCTACAAAGATGACTTTTTTTTTTTTGCCTCTAAGGCACAAATGAATAGTTCAAGTTTACTGAGTCTCAGATATTGCAAGACCTTCTGAAAAACAACTTTTTGACCTATGACCATTCAAAGATTAAGAAGCTTCCAAACAGTAAACCACTACATTTCTTCATAAACACTGCAACATCTATTGCCCATGAACATCCATATAAAAGTTTACTACTCCAGTTGCTTAAAATCAATGTATTCAAATGGTAAAAAGAACTTTTTAAGCCTAAGGGGATAATAACTGCAACATCTCTGAATTTACTGGACAGGCACTAAAACTGAGAATAATTATTCAAATAGCTACAACAGGGGAAACTCAAATACCATTGAGGAGTAGTTTTCAATGAAACTTCAACATACATCTTAAGCATCTTACAGCACACTACTATGATACATAATAAACCACCCTCAAAAATACTATATGAGCATTTGTTTTAAAACATCACCATCATCACTAGCACCACCCACACAAAGCCATCCCTGATGACCTTCAGTTTCTGATCTTGAACTAGTCAACAATTCAATTATGCAATGAACAGGTGTCAGGGAAACCATTCCTAATACTTAACAATAGCCACATTCTAAATACATAACACATTAAATACAAACTTTTCCTGTTACAGCTGCCACTGAATTCTAACAATTTACTGATTTGTTATCTCCTGCAGAAGAGCCAAAATTATCTGATAAATGAGAAATTTTTTTCAAAAAAAATATTCACCTATATTCTCAATTGTTACACATATTCAGAATTGATTTCTTTTTTAAGAAACAGATAAGAACTGAAAAATAATGTCAAAAGCTAAAAAAAAGTTTCTCTTCAGTACATGCTTTGTAGAAATAAAAAATTTTAAATATCCTTTTTTCCCCCACACCTGGTAGCATAATTTTCTTTAGGAAATATGGTTAGCACCTTTTCAAAGAAAATACAATGTGGGTTTTTAGGTTTTTATATGAAATTTTTCCTAAGGGTTGAGCATGTAATTCATAGTAGGATGTTTGCCTAGAATGCACAAATCCATGGGTTCAGTCCTCAGCGATGTAAAAAATAAGTTTTATACAACTTCTTTGTGGCTTTGTGAGGTCTACGTATCTCAGCCTTAAGTTCAACAGAAAAATAACTTTTTAAAAAGGATTTTCTTCAGGAAATATGTCTTCAACAACATCATTTTCTGATAAGTGATACTCCTGATGAAGCATTTCAGGTTGAATTTTAATTGTCTTTTGTGAAATGCCAATCTCAAATAATCACATATGTAATGTTCTCACTAACCCAAGTGCCCTATGTGTCTATTAGTACAAGACAAAAACAAAACACAAATAACGATATGAAGCAGTATTAGCAAGACTAATACAAAATCAAATTAAAACTGTTTATTATTTCTATTAAACAGAATCCTCAAATTTGGTGTATCAAGGTGTACCAATATGTGTATCATATGTAACCAATGCTGGACTTACCAAGATTTACAGCTGGGAGTCAACAAAGACATTTTTCACTAACAGTATTCTAATCTACAGTAGAACAGATTTTTCCAACAAATTTTCCCAAGAGTCATTGCACGGACTCAAAGACTAATTTCCACCAATTCCTACATGTTGTTCAAACACAAAGCACAACCTGGGACAAGGGTTGCAGCTCAGCTTCTCCTTTCCTCTCCTCCCTCCCTGACAGATTATTTTCAAAATGTACCAATCTCCAGAAAAATATGGATTTGGAGGGAAATTACCTATGCCTTTAATATACTCTCTTTATCTAAGAAAGGCTTTCTCTCCACACATTATTAGCAAACTGTCAGTCAGCAGACCAAACCCAAATGACAGCTCAAGTGTTCTCTGCTTGTTAACAGTTTAAAAGGAGGATGAAGTTTTTTTTTTGGGGGGGGGGTTGGACCTACATTCTGAAATCAGTTTCACACGTCTATAAAATATTGCAGGTCTCTTAACTTCTAGGGAAGTGGATATTGGATCTAATTCCCTGCACAGTCACAAAAGAACAGCAACTCAGTGCTTTACAATCTCTACTTTCATATCAACATATGGACAACCAAAGACTATTGCAATCTAATCCGTATCTTAACATCTGGGAGTTTCATCCTTACTGCTTTTGGTTTAAACCAAATAACTAAAAGGAAAAAAAATCACTTAACTGGAATGAGTAAAGTAGCAATGTTAAAAACTCTGGGAATTACTGAAATTAATCTTCCTACAAACTATTATTTTTTTTTTTCAAAAAATCTTAAGTCCTAGTACAATTAACCTATAGGTAAAGTAGTATTGACTTGTATGACTATAGGAAAGTTTCAGAAGAGAAAAACTATAGCAACATTGATTCCTTACACCCAAGAAACAGTGGCTTTACCTCTAGGCTCATCCTTTATAAGGCACTGCTCTTTCAAAACATACCATCAAAATCTCATGAAGGACATTTCCTTTCAACAGAAACCATATCCCTGAAAATTAAACCCAGGACCTCATGGTACTTAGTAGGTTAGCATCCTACCACTAAGCTACATCCCCAGCTACAAATGAAAGTCTTAGTATTAGTATGTTTTTTTTATTCACTTATTCATGAAGCACTTATGTGCCATATACTGTTTAAACGAGGTAAAGAACAAAACAGCTAAAATTCTTGCCCTTGTGCAGCTTATATTCTAATGTAGAAGCCAACAAATAATATAGGTTGCTATATTAGATAAGCTACCATAGAGCAAAAAAGAATTAAAAACACATTAAGAGGTGAGCAGTCTTTAGAAACACCATTCTCCTAGTGGGCCCAACTTCTTTATTTTTACTTAATAACAAAGTTTCTCTTTTTCTTTTTCTTTTTTTTTTTTTTTTTTGGTACCAGGGGTCAAATTCATGACCTTGCACTTGCAAGGCAGGCAACTTGTGCGGCTGAGCTGTATATCCGGCCCACTCGACAATAAAATTTTTGAAGAAAGTTAAAACTGAGCTTGTCACTGTCGTTTAGTCTCCACACAAAATCCTGCTATATGCCGGGAATATAGCTCAACAGCACAAGGGCCTGCCTGGTAAGTATGAGCATCATGAGTTTGATTTCTGGTACAAAAATCAATCAATCAATCAATCAACCATCCAGTTATAGGCCAGTGCACACTTGATTTGTGATTGTTATACTCACAAAATCCACATTTTAATGTATTAGGACAGCAAAAATTAGGATCCAGGACCATCATATATACCAAATAAATTTAATGTACAAAGTGAGGTGCATGGTGGCAGACACCTGTAAATTTCAGCACTAGGGAGGCTGAGGCAGAAAGACCACCATGAGTTTGTGGCCAGCCTGGGCTACACTATGAGTAGAAGGCCAATGTGGACTATACAGCAAGACGCTTGTCTGAAAAGAAAAGAAATAGAATTATTTCAAAATAAAAATGTCTCTAAAACAACTAATTCTGGAATTTAACTTCTGTAAAAAAAGGAATGGCTAAAGATTAACTGAAGAATTATGATCTTTGTCAGTAGCACTCATATTCTAATGAATATGATACATCACATATTTTAAATATAACACTTCACTGAAGATTATCCCTTTAAATTACCTAAAGGTTGCGCCGAGGATATAGATCAGCAGGCACAAGTGCCTGCCTTGCAAGGTCCTGAGTTCAAGCCCCATACCAAAAACAAACAAAGAATTACCTGGAGGTGTTTTTCTGTTTGCTTGATTTTAGGTAATTTGATCAAGTGAAGGAGCACACTATCCTGCCGAAAGTCAGGTATTTCCTAAGACTGTGATTGAGGATTTTTGTTTTCATTTTAGCACCAACATGTAAAATCTATTAAGAGCATGGCAATGAATGCCTGCAGCCCCAGCTACTCAGAAGGCTGATGCAAATGAGAGGCCAGACTGGACAGCTCAGCAAGACCCCGGCTTAAAATAAAACATAAAAAGAGCTAGGGATGTGGCTCAGTGGTAGAGACCTCTAGATTCTCTAGTACTACGTGTTATGGATTAAAAACTGGTGGTCAACTTAACGCCAGCTGGATTACATCAGCAAGGTGCTGAGCATAGTTGTTTCACCTGAGGAAAGTTGCCAGCATTAAATAGAGAATGGAGAAGAAGCTATGTGTTGATACTTGAGGCATTGTGGGTTCTCCTACGTGTTGCTGTTTGAGCCATTAAGGTTCTCCTGGAGAAGCTCTGGTCCTCACATCGAGCCTTGCTTCCTGGCTCCAGAGAGGAACACGTGTGCCACTTGGTCTCCCGGATGAACTCGTCATGCTGGCTTCCTGACAGGTACTCGACTGTGTTATTGGAGGAGGAGCTCAGAACCTCTGTGTTGCTGAGGATGGCTGTGGTACTTTTCAGGACAGCCCTGGTCTTTGTTCCGAGTGTCACTTTTCGGCTCCAGCGTAGAACTTTCAACCTACCAGTACAGCTTCTTCACCCTGCTGGCATAGACTTCCTAGCTTCCACTGCTGACTTCTAGGCCTTCCCAGCATGGATCCGTAAAAGAGACTGGCATGAGTCCTTCTTGTGGGCTCTAGACCTCCAGTTAGACTCGTGGGAGGCATTATCATGAGCTCTGGGTCTTCATCTGGACTCATGTGGGACACTGCTGTGGGATTCAGACCCTTGGCTAAATATTCTATGTCTTTGGTGTTGTGGACAGATTTCCCGCATTTTCTTGTGTTAACTCTGGGTGGCCATCATAAAACAGTATTATAAACTCCATGTCCTGATTCTAATTGTTCTCCTCACAACCCCTGACTACAACACTATGAAAAATAAAAGAGAAAATTTCCTAAACCAAAATCATCTCTAGAGTTTGGTTTGTTTTTTTGTTTTTTTTAGGACAAGGTCTCACTATGCAGTTTATGTTGGCCCTGAACGCATCACTATTTAGTCCAGGTTGGCCTCAAACTTGTGGCAACACTCCAGTCTCAGCCTTAAACTGAGGGCTGAACCCATGGTCTTCACACCAAACTACATCCCCAAGTCCTTTTTATTTCAGAAATAGGGTCTTATAAGTTACTAAATTCTCCAGCCTAGGCTTATACTTGTGATCTTCCTGACCTACTCTTCTATAATATTAGTATTATAGGAATGTGCCACCACATCCAACTTCTCTAGCACATTCTATGGTGTTGTTAGTGGTCTCAGTATAGGTATATCCACTCAAGAGCAACTGAAACATGAATCCTTAGAAAACTAAGTTTCATCATAATTACAATTTACTGTTGTAGAAAAGGAGCAGACTTCTCAACATTCTTAATATAATGTTAAATATACTATTTTTTCAACTGATTTTCAGAGCATCGATTAGCGATTCTTGTATATCATCCTGAAACTGTCTGCTATCCAGCTAGCAGCAGTCTATGAATACTGATATTAACAGTGTAAGAAATACTGCATCCATTTATGTCTATTTTAACTTAGAAACTAAATAATAAAAGTACAAAAAGTCAAAACTCTGCACTTGTGAAATACATAAGACTATCTTTATACATAATTCTCCTTCCCTGAATTTTTAAATATTTTACCTTCCAAAAAACCACTATGTAGAAGTTCTGAGACATAAACAATACATGCTGTAAAATCGCTGTCAATAACTATTATGGCTCGTGTCTAGATGTTCTCCCAAAGCCTCATGCATACACAGGTGGGGCTTTTCCAGAATGGCTGAAAGTACTCTCCGTGATTGTATACTGCTAGGACTAGTGGGGATGATTACAAAATCACTCCATTGCCCTAATTCCTATAGCCTGGATACAATACAAGGGACAGAAAGAGGCTTGTCTCCTTGCTTTGCTATGTTCTGCATGCCATGAAATGTTTCTCCTCTGCAACGCCTGTCAGCTGTGCCACTGTGCCTTGGAGCCAGCTGGTATGGACTGAAACTTCTATAAAATGTGAGCTAAATAAACCTTTTCCCTTTAACTTTGGGTGCCAGGTATTTTGTCTCAGTAATGTGAGAGAAGTAACTAAGACAGTAACACTGCCCATTCATCACTCAGTAGCCCTTTAGAAAGGGAATTCACATTTCAGAAATTGTTTATAATTCAATGCAAAGAAAAAATTTCCCTTCTCTGGAGTATCTGTGATGTATTTATTTATTTAGGGTAATAATTTTGGCTCTACAGAAGTTTAGCTAAATCTGATTTTCTGTAAGGGCAACCATGCTACATCATTTTAAAGTATGTACTTTTTCCACTGCTTTCCTTGGCTTTTTAAATTTCTATTAACTATGTATCCACATCCTACTAAAAGTCATATGAAATCTTATTTTAAAGGAAAAATATTAGAAATATTTAATCCCTCTTCCCCCAAAACAATCAAAAAATATATTTTAAATTACTTTAACATATGACAAAGAATAAAGGAAAACAATAAAGACTGTCCTTGATGTGTCATTTAAAAAGATCTCATACATATATATATATATTACATACAAATATACATGTACAGTTTTTAATTCCTCCTCGAAAGCTGGCACAAGGCCAGGCATGGTAAGGCACAGCTGTAATCCCAGCACTCCAGAGACTGAGGCAGAAGGATCATCAGAAGTTTAAGGCCAGTCTGGGCACAATAGTGAAGTCAGGACCAGCCTGAAATACACAGCAAGACCCTATCTAAAAAAAACACAAAAAACAAAAAACAAACCATTGGCACAGCAAACTAACTGCATAAATAGAGAGAGGTGGAAAAGGAAAAAAAAAGGCCTATCTCAATGTACAATGGTTAAACCAGTAGTACCTCAAGTTTATGGAACACTACTCAGCAACAAACATAAACAAGCCATTAACTATAAACAACTCTGATGACTCTCCACAGGAAAAAAGCAAAATCTAAATTACATATAGTACTCTATGATTCCATTTATGTAACAGTTTTGAAAAGACAAATGGAGAGAGAAGAGCTTATGGGAGGGTAATGAGTCTGACAGTAATAAAAAGACAACAAGGATCTCTGTAATGATGGACCTATTCTGTATCATGATTATCAAACACTATAATTCTGCAACATATTACTATTTGGATAAACTAGATAAAAGGCACACTAGATCCATGGTAGTTTTTGAAACTGTATGTAAATCTCAAAATAAAAAGTTTAATTCCAAAGAAAAGGCCAAAATGAAATATTTATAGTGTATGTGGGGGGGGGAGAATACTACTAAAATTTTTGCTTTTTACTAAAAAAGAAAAAATCAGGTAACCAAAATATCTAAGAACAATTCAAAGACAATAAAGTCTTGTGTTTTGCTAAGTTTTAAATTGAATGGCTGAGCATCTTACAATTGACTTACAAAAGCCAATTTGACTTAAAATTGGGCAAAAACTGTAAAGTTTTCCAAAGAAGATATTCAGAATAACCAACAAGCACATGAAAAGAAGCTCAACATCATTAAGGCAATGCAAATCAAAACCACCCTGAGATACCACTTACACCCAACACAACAGCTACTCTCCAAAAAACAGGAAACTTAAGTGTTGCTGGGAATGTAGATTAATCAGAACCTTGTGTACTGTTGGTGAAAATGTTGAATGATATAGCTACTGTGGAAAATAATATCGCAGTTCCTCAAAAAATGAAATTCAGCATTACTATAAAATACTGCAATCTCATATCTGGGTATATTCCCAAAAGAACTGCAGGCAATACCTCAAAGAAGTATTTACACACACACATTCATAGCAGCACTATTCATAATATCTAAAATATAATATCAGCTCAAGTGTCCATTTACAGATGAATGTATAAGTAAAATATGGGAAGTACATACAAGTTATTATCCATCCTTAAATATGGAAAGTAACTTTTTTTTTTTTTTGGAGAGAAGGTATCACTACGTAGCTCAAGCTGACCTTGAATTCAGTGTGTAGCCCAAGCTGGCTTCAAATTTGTAGTGATTCTCCTAACTCGGCCTCCCCAAGTGCTGAAATTATAGGCCTGCACCACCATACCCAGCTCTACAATGTACAATTTACAAATATGTAAACTGATAATTAACTCCTTAAGAAAGACTATAGATGATATAATGACAAAGATCTCATGAAACATTATGTGTAAATTACACAAGAGCATTTATTATTGTAATTAAAGATCAAAATTAATGATACACATGATATACATATAATCATGACTGCATTATAGTAAATATCAAGCAGTTTAAGGAAAACGTTTATAATTAGTTTAAGAATAAATAAAAATCATAAAGTAACAACAATATTCAAAAGGTCCTTCTCAGATAGCTTTCAAGGGGGAGTTAATGGGCAAAAAAATGGCGGGGAAACTTCTACTTAACAGAATCAATCCTAGGATTTTTCTTTGTAAAACAAAGAATATTCAATTTTGTAAATTCCTTTTACCTTTTTCTATTTCCACAGCCAGACAATATTAGAGAAGGCAAGGGCAGCATGATTTCATGGAACACTGTGGGTAGCAGTAAAAACCACTCCCATCCCCTTAATGAAGAATAAATTAACCACAATGTTATCATAATATTCAATGATTTATATAAAGCAATGGCAGGAAATTAAGGAAAGATTTCTGCAGCAAAAAACAGTTTATAATAACTATTCATAAAAGCACCTACTAGTAGATATGTTAAAGTATAAAATATTAGAATACACTATTTTTAATTCATCAAAAATAAAACATATTACTAATGAATCTGTAACTTTACAGCTAGAAAATACAAGCATATCAAATAAATACTAGAAATTTTTCAAAAGTCTTTGTACAATGTTACAGGTAACAAACATGAAAAATTCAATTTCTTCCCTCCATTTAAATAGCCACATAAAAGTACAACTGATGAAAGAGACCCATACTAGCAGTTACCTTTCAGAATCTATTTAGAAATAAACTAAACCAAAAACACATACTCACTGAAAAGATCAAAAAATATGCTACACTGGTCACTTTTCTGTCACTGGGGCAATACTGTATAACCAATACCTGCAACTTAAAGGAAGAGAGATTTATTTTGGCTCATGCCTCAGATGATTCAGTCCATAAATGGTTGGTTCCAAGCCAGAAACACCACAGCAGAGGGGTGCAGTGAAGGGAGATGATCGACCATGGCAGCCAGGGAGCAGAGAGCAAACAGAGGAGCCCAAGAAATAACCTTCTAGGTAACTCCCCCTTGCTGACTCACCCCCATTCTGGCTCAACACCCCTAATAGTACATTAGACAACTGAATTCACCAATCAATAAATCCACTGATGAACAAAGTACCTCGACGATCCAACGGCCTTCTAAACATATAAAATTTTTGGGGTACATTTTATATCTCAACCCTAACATATGCATACCAAGGAGAAAATGGATATAACAAATAGAAAATCATAAATATCACTGATGTTCTGGTTATGCTGATGCTTATCTGTAATCCCAGCTACTCCTGAGGCTGGAGCAAGAAAATCACAAACTCAAGGCTAGCCTGGACAACTGAGTGAGACTTTCAAACTAGAATGGAATAAGGGTATAGACTTCCTGATACTAATGAAAATAAAAAATAAATAGAAAAGAGTACCTAGTCAACAAATGGGGTTACAAGTGGTTAGAAACAGTAAAGCTAGATATTTCCTTATACAAAATTTTCTTTAAAAATCTTAGAAAAAATTATGAAAATTTCAACTTAGTGAGACTCTATCTCAAAGTAAAAGCAAAAGCACTGCAAATTGGATTCCCCTACATTTTAAACTTCTGTATAGCTAATGTCATAAGCAATGGACCAATAAAAACCATGTAGAACAAACACAGCATCCAAACACAGTACATCAAAAAGAATTCTTATATTTAACTTGTTGATGTCATTATAGTATTTCTAAATAGTGCATGTAAATCGAGGCATTCTGCCTCCAAAGTCTATGGGTTTTTTTGTTGTTGCTTTGTTTCGTATTTTTTGGTACTGGGGATCGAACTCACGACATTGTGCTTACCAGGCAGGTGCTTACAACACTGAGCTAAATCCCAGCCCAAAGTCTATGTTCTTAACATTATACTATACTGTATTACTCAGGTTGCACAGGTATTAACACTATACTATACTGTATTACTCAGGTTGCATTGTCTTACGGTATTGTAAGACAATGCTGTGATTTATACCTTAAGGGTTAATGGGCTGAAGTGTGGTCCACAGGGTGGTAGCATAAAAATCTTTAAATGGTGGTTCCTAGGCTAAGGATGTAGCTCAGTGGTAGAGCACGTCTGAGGCCCAGCATCACACACAAAAAAAGAGATAAGCCCAGCGAGAAGGACTCTCATTAACTGGGAGCATGTCCTCCAAAGAGATTGTATGACTCCAATCTCTACCTGGCTTCCTATCTTGCCATGAGGTCTCTCTTTCTCTTGCACATGCTCCTGCACTGTAGCGATAAGGTCAATGCAGTCAAGGGGTCCAGACCAGAATCAAAACTATGCTATTTGGTCTTTCAGCCTCCAAAACTGGGCTAAATAAACCTCTTTTCTTGGTAAGTACTCAGTCTCATGCATTTCATTAAAGAAACAGACTAACAAAGACAACTAATAGATATTCTGCTATAAAATGTACACAAGTATTTTTATATACTACTGGTAAAATGAAAATTGGTAACACTCCTCAAAGGGAACCTGATGCCATCTAACATTTTTATACACAGTAGTTTCCTGGGAGAGATCAATATGAAGAATTTTCATTTTCTATGTTATATAATTCTGTACAGTACTTGAAATTATGATCAGAAAAAAACCTCCGGTAATTGTTTTAGGTCTTTGCCTATCAAAAGCACATCACTGCTTTCCTTTTTCTAGCCTTCCTATCCTACTCTTATCTCACTCTATAGACACAAGATAGAATTGTATTTATTTCAATAACATTAGAAAGATCAGGAAAATGACTCCCTAAGGTCTCTCTTAGAAATCCTTTTTAAAAAAAATGCCATGGTTTATATCAGTGGCCCCCCAAGACTCATGCAATTATGGACTCTACCAAATCTAGTGTTTGTGACTGGTTCACTGTCTAGCACTTGGATTGGTGGTGTGAGTGTTACACTCCCCCAGGGGGTGGAGCCAGGATACGATGTAAAGAGGGAAAAAAGGTATATCTCTCTCTCTTGCCAGTTTACGCCTGGCTGTTTGCCACGGCCATGAACTGCACCCTGCCATGCCACCCTGTCATTTTTTTTTTTTTTTTGTCTTTTTCATTTTTATCAGTACCAGGGATCGAACTCACGAC